TTTGTAACCATCTATGCATAAGTAATATTTAGTACATGTACATTCGTGTTCCAGTAGATCGCCGTTTATGCATCCAGGAATTGGAGTTGACGAGATCGGAGTCGGAATTGTCACAGCACAATCCGAATTCTCTCGACTGACGCAACCATGCCAGTATCGGCTAAAGTATAGACCAACCTTACACGAGCGCGGTTCCTTCTTACTGTTTTTACACTCGTAATATTTAGTACAATCCTTTTCGTCAGATATTAATTTCGGCGGGCAATCGTCTGGAATTGGACATTCCGGAATATCTTGTGGAGGACAATCCGAATGCTCCCGACTGACGCAACCCTGCCAGTATTCGCTAAAGTATAAACCGGCTTTGCAAATGCGTAGTTCCTCCTTACTGTTTTTACATTCGTAATACTTAGTGCAATCTTGTTTGATAGGTATTAATTTTGGCGGACAAGTGTCCGGGTATGGACATTCTGATGAAATCGAAGTTGTTGGAATCGGAGTTTGAGTTGTCGGAATCGGAGTCTGAGTTGTCGGGATCGGAGTCTGAGTTGTCGGGATCGGAGTCTGAGTTGTCGGGATCGGAGTCTGAGTTGTCGGGATCGGAGTCTGAGTTGTTGGAATCGGAGTCTGAGTTGTTATGAGACAATCCGAATGCTCCCGATTGACGCAACCCTGCCAGTATCGGCTAAAGTATAGACCAACCTTACACGAGCGCGGTTCCTTCTTACTGTTTTTACACTCGTAATATTTAGTACAATCCTTTTCGTCAGATATTAATTTCGGCGGGCAATCATCTGGAATTGGACATTCCAGAATATCTTGTGTAGGACAATCCGAATGCTCCCGACTGACGCAACCCTGCCAGTATTCGCTAAAGTATAAACCGGCTTTGCAAATGCGTAGTTCCTCCTTACTGTTTTTACATTCGTAATACTTAGTGCAATCTTGTTTGATAGGTATTAATTTCGGCGGGAAAATATCTAGTACTGGACATTCAAGATTTGGGACTAGAATCGGGATCAAAGGTGAACACTCTGAAATTTCCGGTGTGACGCAACCAATCCATCTTTTGCTAAAGTACAGGCCGACTTTGCAAGAGCGTAATTGTTTCTGACCATTTTTACACTCATAATATTTAGTGCAATCCGTTTCATGAAATATTAGTTTGGGTAGTGAGGAAATGTTTGACACTGGACATTCGTCTTCAGTTTCAAGAATAATAGGTAATTTACTCGCGATGATTATGGTCCAAGATGCCAAAAAGGCGATGGTGAGTAGGTATATTCCTATTGAATAATAAAATATTCTGATCAAAATTTAATTAATTATTATTGCAATTTTTATAAAATATCAATTATTCGTATATAATTTGGATTAAATAATCTCATTACAGTATATAAAACTCTCTCAATGGTTTCATTTTATTGTAGTTTTAATTATAAAAATTTATCAATGCTCACCCTTCATCGCCTGTCACCTATTTTATTCTTAACGAAGATTGTTTTAAAGAGAAGATTTCGTATTGTATATATAAAAATATCCTATTAACACCTCACTAATTAGTCAGTTGAATACATAACTGAATGAATTAAAGAGCGCCGCCTTTTATAATTCGCTACGTTATCGTATGACACAAGGACAGATTATCATATCTGTTAAAAAACAGAGCCGTCTTTATTTCTTTTGAACTTCAGATTCTCATGTATTTGCATAGTGTGTGTATACATATATATATATATATATATATATATATATATGTGTGTGTATGTACAGATCCAAAGAAAACAAAAGATTTAAAGTTATAATAATTAATGTAACACATACATATATGCGCAGATACCGCAAATAAATAATTTTTTAGTTAATAAATATCTTATAAAATTGCAATCTATATACGTATACCTATATAACATATAATGTATACGTATTTATAATATTTATATAAATTCTTTTTTATTGTATTTTTTTAATTATGTAAAGTCATTAATTATTATATATTAATAAAATATCTTAAAAATATTTTGGCATTTTATTATATTATAATATGTATGTTTTAAATTATAAAATTTATTATAATTGTTTATGTTATTTATCAAAAGTGTATTGAGAGGCTTTTAGTATCTCAGATATTCATATAGAAAAATGCCACAGTCTTGGAAAAATATATTTTTCATTGAAGTCCAGAAGAGAGAATTATAAAAATTATTAAACAAAAGAATTATTGCTTGCATTAGACTAGACTACAAGCAATGAAAAAGTTTATTTTATGTAAATATAAATTAATAATAATTTATATTTTACGAGCTTATGTAAGGATAAACTATAATAATGTAAGGAAGAATTGAAATTTTTATATTAAAAATTTAATGTTCTTATCGTTAAATTTGATTTTATCAAGAGCTGAGTGATTTATACTTATTATAGATAAAAAGATTTATGTGAGTATAGAAATAAAATGTTAGTTAAGATGTCAAGGTAATTCCTGATTAGATAGCGCGATTATAAAAAAAAGTTTTGTTATTAAAATTTTTATCATTTTATGTTATGAAAAGATCATAGTATAAAATGATTCGCAATTTAATTGATTTGTCGAGATGTTCGTTAGAATAGAAATTTACAGTAGCCATAATTCAATACAGTGTTATATGGGTACAATCAGTACTTAAAAAATTATAGCTTTTTAAGTTAAATGTTTATAAATAACTTCTAATTTAAGTATTTATTTTTTTATTCTTATTATATGGTAACGGAAGAAGAGAAATATTAGAGTTTGTTTTAAAAAACGTTGAGTTTATTATACTCTATTATACTTTAAACTACAAAGTAGTTTAGTAAAATTGTTATCATCATAAATAACTGAAAAAAATTTAAAAAGCTTTTTAAATTTTTCAAAATTATAAATAAGTATGGTGCCAAATTCGTCAAATAAATTGATATAATCTTTCATTATCAATCGAGACTTTGAAATTTGAAAGTCGATATCTCAATTGCCCAATATTATCAAAGTACATATATATGTAATATCTCATTATCAATATGTAATCAGCACTAGATATAATATACGTCAAAGAAAGTAATACATCAAAGAAATTTAAAAAATTAATTGCTTATAATTGAATTAATTAAGAAAATAATGCCTTCTTAATTAAAAAATTTTTATTGCGCTATGTTTGACAAGATTATTTCTTGTTACGTATGTTACATTCAATTCTACATTACAATAAATTTTTACCACAATTGTCATTGTTGAGTTACTTGTATAGTATACCAATCGGAAGAAATTTAGGTTTTTGACAGATTATCCGATATTTGTAATTATTATTACTATTATTTATATTTAAATGGAGTTTTGAATTAGATTAAAAATTTGTATCACAAATCATTAATTTTATTTTTCATTCTCCTAAATATGTGGAGTTCTAAGAATTTTTAATAAGCCAGAATGACAGTCAAATGGCATATCAAAAACACCGAATCAGAATTTCGAACTTATCATGATAATCTAGATTCAGCGAGCAATTTAAGCAAACAGAAGACCTCTATACAGGGTGTATCTGAAATAACACCCACTAATATAATGCTATTTCTAATAAAAAACTGAATTAAAAAGTTCTCTACCATTTTGCAATCTTCGCAACATTTTTCTTTAGTTATTCAATGAGCAAAATGTCTAAAATCATAAGACAACTTTAAGATATCTTTAAGAGTTCTTTCTAAGAAACAGCTTCAAAATATTTTACAAAAAACACTGAAAGAATAATTAAAATTGTCTTATATCTATCGATTTATTCGTTTATTCGATAATCTTTAGAAATTAATATCTTGTTAATTACTACCAAAATTGCACAATATTAGAGGAGTTTTCGACCCAGTTTTTATTAGGAATAGCACCTCATACAGCACAGAATTTGCAGCAATATCGCTGCAAAATCTCTGCAATATTCATGCAACATATAATGTTGCTGTAATGTTGCAGCAGTGTTGCTGTAACTTTTGTGTAACTTTATGTAGGGAATGTATGATTAGTGGGCGTCATTTACCCCCTGTATTTCTCTTATTTTATTTCTTTAGCTTCTTCAAAGTTAAGTTTCTCTAAAACCGACAATTATATGCATATTTCTTAAATAGTACTAATACAACAACTGTACAACAAGACTCCTAAAGTTCAACAAAATTATAGAGAAACATGAGGTTATGAAAGTCAGGCTCGATAATTTATGTGTAAAATAAATACATTTTTTATAAAAGTATCGATTAGGAGACTAAGTTCTAATGACCTTGACCTTGAGATATATTGTCAAGTTTATGACTCTGAATGACCTCCAACAAGTTTAAGCTGTCGCTCGTCCTTCGTTAAAAAGTTATTAATAAAAAAGTTTAAGAAATAATGTATACGATATCCCTTTTCCACCATAGAAATTTTCTGCTTTAAAGTATTATATTTTACAATTTTCCATGCAAAGCGACCCCCCCATCTTCCTCCTTGCTTGAGGGCACACGACTTTCATATTTTCTTATATAATTTTTGTTCTTAGAACAGAAAATTTTTTCCTGCTTTACTCTGCATACATGGTTTACGATTCATGATTTGATTAGGGTTAGATTATTATATACACTATGGGTGTATAATATCCCAATAACCTAACCCTAACCCTCTCCTAAACTACATATTTACCCAAATTTTCTGCTAAAGCAGTGAGCTTGTGTTCGAGTGGAAAGTCACGTGCCACTAGGCAATGAAAGAGGTGCAGAAATGCAATACGTGGATATAGTTTAGAACAGTTTCTGATGTTATAATAGCCGAAATAAGAATAAGTTATTTTTTCAAACTGTTTTTGTTAATAACTTTTTAATGGATGAGCGACGGTTAAAATTTGTTGGAAGTCATTTAGGGTCATGAACTTAACAACATATGGAGCTCAGTCCATGTGGTAGAACAACACATTGGAGCTTGGTCCCCTAATTAATATTTTTACAACTATATTTTTTTACAACAAATAAATAAAATATGAAATTTAATCCTCTAATTAATCTAAAAATCTTTTCGATATTCTGCTCATGTATATTCCAGTTCCAATATTTGAACTCTTATTAGCAATAAAAACTGAAGATTAAGATGTCAAAAATTGCATGTCGTGTAGAATGCTACAAGGCGAGAGATCAATAGATAAAAATAAAATTACGTTGTCTAACTTGAGTTCACTCTTTCGAAAATGAGATTTACTCCAAAGGAAGGAAATTTTATTCCTTTTTTGGAGTGAATCTTACTTCAAAAGATTGAAATCTTACTCCAAAAAAAGTGAAAATCTGCCACTTTTATTCAAGAGTGCAAATATTTTTAATGGTAGTAGTATTTTTATTTTTTTAAAGTAAGATTTCACTCCAAGAATTTAGAGAGTATAAATCCATTTAAAATGGATTATCCTATGAGTCACGTAATGTATATATTAGGTGTAGTAAAAAGTCATCGCGTATTTTTTAGCTCAAAGTTGTATATACAATATCTTCATCAATAATGAATAAAATTCAAATTTAAAAAAAGGGTTTTAAAGCTTGAAATCTCTACTTTTAAAAGCTTATCACATTTTTTAAGTTTATATGAGTTTGATAATTTTTACATACCAAAAACTACGAGCTGAAAAAGACGAAAAATTTTCTTCTCACTTTGTGGATTTGTAACGTGTCCAAAACGAATTTGAGAAAATTTTCGATTACATATCGTGAAAGCTTGATACTTTCCCTACAAAATCGTTTTTTTTTTTAATATACATACGACTTTTGATTACTGAGTTATCGCGGATTAAATAAAAGAATTATTTTGACTTTAATTGCTCATAACTCCATTAAAAATTGTCGTATCGTATAATTTAAAAAAGAGATTTTTAAAGCTGAAACTTTACTCTATCAAGATATATTTATATTGTTGGTAAGAAAGTAATTGCGGTTTTTACTGATAGATGTCTTAAAAAAAAACGCGATGACTTTTTACTTAACCTAATATCTTACTTAGGAAAGACTCCCAGGTATCTCTCACCGATTTTAATGAAACTTGATAGATTTATAGATGGAATAAAAATATTCGATACATATTTTCTTTTATTACAATTTCTTTATGGCAATTAAACAAATTTAAGGAGTGAAATTAGTTTTCGAAAATTGACTAAATTTTCATTTTTTAAACAATTTTTGAACGAAACATAATCATATAATTTCGTAAATGTACAGAATATCAAAATCCGATGTTGTACGCCAAATTGCTTGAGTCGTCTTTTAAACATTAATCTCTATAAATTGGCGGTGTAGTATTGCGAAGAGTTATTCAGATTATATTTGCGCGTGACTTCGGAAATGTTAGATAATTTAAGTGAGCCTGGTTGATTTTTATACGAATAGACAGCTTTCGAAATTCATCTGTACACTTTGTATATTAATGATATTACGTTATTATACTTTGTTCAGAAATTATAACTAAAAAACAATAAAAATTTGGCTGATTTCCGAGAACTGATTTCACTCATTAAATATGTTGCTGATAAAAAAATACGTATCAAATATTTTTATCCCTTC